CAGTCATAGGATTGATTCCTCATTGAGATAAACTATAAAGTTTGACCCTGCTTGAAATTTGGACCTGGAAATGTTGGTAAGTAAAGTCTGTCGGCTTGATAAGGAACATATCACCCACTTTGACATAACTGGTCCATAAAAATATGGGGCTAACAGTGTGTGCAAAACAAGCCGTAAGATATGGAAAAGAGACCTCGACTAGACCATTTTCATTACGGAGATGGCACCTGATTGATTGAATAGTCCCTGTGGCTGAAAATTAATTTTATGAACAAATGTGCATTCAGTCGTATAATAATATATCACGATGAAGTTGATTAATGTACAACCTTGACGACGATGTTGATTATTATGATAGTAATAATATTAAAATGATGGCGATGACGATAAATACAATTTATATTTTCAAGTACAGAAAATTAAATGAAAGTATTCCCCGTGTGGGTTCCAGGGCCCTATTATAGGGAAAACAAGAATAGACCTACAGCCTAACCAAAAGCATGTCGTAAGAGTCGAATAATTAGGAGCTTCCTTTGAAGTCGGAGTGCATCTGCCTGAGAGGCAAGGAACCAGCAGTCTGCATGCCAATGAGTCAGATCTGTAAAACGGATGCACACGCAACACAGGTTCTGAAACAGGACTGCAGTCCAGACGTGGACGAACAACGAGAACTTTCCGCCGGAGTATACAGCTGGGGAAGGCGAAGAAAAAGAAGAAATGAAAGTATATGTTTGAGTTTTGGAGGTTTTAAACAACGGATCAACATTATGGCACACGGGTAGCAACCCATAAGTGCTCCGTTCTTCTTTTAACTGAAGTCTGAGTCCGAAGAAGCTCAGCATATTGCACATGCTCTGTAGCACCGATGAGGATACTGAAATACATGGGGTAGATTTTTAACTCCAAACTTTGCCCGGGCTACTCTTTTTGATTTCCAACTGCCAAGGGATTTTTTTACGTGTCCAGAAACCAGGGGGAATTACTTGAAGTCCCAAGTCCTCGTGAAAAAATGCCAGCTCTTACCGGGGAATGAACTCGGAACCTCTAGCACTCAAGATCACACCCCCCCCCCCCCATGAATGTATAATGAATAAAAAAACAGGCACTCCAGTGGAGTGAGAAGAGAGGTCGTCTAAGATAAAAATGGATGAGAGAGAGAGAGAGAGAGAGAGAGAGATAGAGAGAGACCAAAGGTGCTGGACTTGATTCCATTCTTAATTTTAAATTGATTGCACTGGATAAAACGGAATGGAGGAGTGGACAGCGAGCCCTGTGCGCAGGGACGGGTTTAGATTTGATGAGCTCTATGAAACCCTGAGGCCTCTACCGTTATAAGTTATTCCAAATAATTTCAGAAGTTTCAAATCTTTAAGTTTGAAAAATGTGGAAGTTACCTCATATAAAGCTAATCAATTTATTTACTTCAAACAGACTCAGTCAGTCAGTCTCTAGTATGTCCTTTGCAGAGCCTTGCTCCCATATTAACCCTCCAGAAAACTCAATCACAAGCAAGATGTCCCGCGTCCGATACAGCCATATAGAGATCATCCGCAACATCCTGCATCCATCTTCTCTTTGGCCTTTCTCTCCCTTTCTTTCCAGGCATATACCCCTCCATTATTGTTCTCTCTAAACTTTCGTGACGTTTCAAGTATAGACTACAAGTTAGAATAAACAACAGCCTGAATTAAATATCCCCACAATACTATTAAAAAAAAAAAATTATTGGGAATTTAAAATTTAGAAAAAGCAGATAACAAGACAATTGCATTTGTGAAAAGACAATGATTTTTTATGTTGAGTATGTTGATGTAACTCTCTAGTAACGCACCTGACCAGATACAGCGAAATCTGCCTGGCAATAAATTGTGTAATGTATTGTTTGTGTCTGCATTATTTTAATTCATTGCCCGGCTCTCTAGCGTAGTTGGCTAACAGATTGCGCGGTGACCGGGTGTCGAACTCCTTGTGGTCCGGGTTCACTCCCAGGGGTAGACAGAAAAGCCACATTTCTCCAAGATTTACGGTATTTACAATGGAATCAAGGCCGAAAGGTTGCGATATCCAAAATACCGAGCCTATGGGTTAACAACTCATGGCTTCTGGATAGTAAAAAAAAAAAAAAGATTCAAATTCATTACGGGAACCATTGCTTTGATTAGCTCTGCATATGTTGTGACGCTAAGTTGTAGCTCAGTTAGTTTATGCCAAATTCCATCGTAACATGTGGCGTCTGTGGCTAAGCGTTGCGAGTCCGACTTGTAATTCCAACATACTGTGATCGAAACCTACTGCTGGCTGCGTGGATTTTTATCTCGGGTATGGCGTCGCAGGTCGCCTAGCCTAAAATGTGTACCAGGATGGATTTCCTGGGGTATTAAAGACGGCCGGCGTAATGCTGACCACATTACCCACCTAGTGCCGATTAGTCTGTAAACATATGAGTGCTCTTCCCATATGCCAGATGGGCCTATAGGCGTAAAAGGTGATCTTTACTTTCACTTACTATGTAAACTATAATAGCACATAGGGTCAATGATGATGAGTTAATAATTAATGCTCCACAGGTTACCTTCTGGCAACGCTGTGTGCATCAGTTACAGTGGCTTTGGCTATTGCTCCTCCAATCCTCATACCGTTCATGCTCTTTGGCGGTCTCTTCGTCAACAACGGGTAGGTCATTTTCAGATAAGCTGTACATTTTCCATAGGGCTGCCATGTACCATGCCAACATCAGGCACGTCTGTCTGGCTGTTTACGCGCCCATCTCTGTCTCTCTTTATCTCCATCTCTCTCTCTCTCCCTTTCTCTCTCTCTCTCTCTCTCCTCTCTCTCTCTCTCTCTCTCTCTCTCTATCCCCATCTATCTCTCTGTCTTGTCTTGTTTTGTCTTGTCTTGTTTTGTCTGTTTTGTTTTATCTTGTCTGTCTGTCTTGTCTTTCTAATTCTAGCATTATTTGCCCCATACGCTTCTTCTTCTTCTTCTCTTCCACCTTTTACCTCATCGAAGTGTCGGGGGGTGATGTAATGTTCGTTGATAAGCTCTGCCAAGAGCACTTTTAAGACTGATGTTCATTTCTGTAAGGCTGTTCTTAATGCCATCACTCCATATTTTCCGAGGTCTTCCACTCGCTTTATACCCGTTGTAACGTTTTAGTGTGGCTCGCTGTGGCAGATAGTACCAGGGCATTCTTGTTAGGTGTCCAAACCATTTCATTTGTTGTTCTTTGATTACCTGTAAGACTGGCTTTATTCCTAGCATTCGTCTGATTTCATGATTTTGTATTCTGTCTTTCCTTGAAACTCCTGCAGCTTTTCTAAGGCATTTCATCTCTTTTGTCACAATTTGACGTTCATTGGAGGATGTAAGTGTCCACGTTTGGCACTGATAGCATAGTATTGGCCAAAAAATAGTTCTGATAAGATTCACTTTAGTACTCCGAGGTATCTGCTTGTGTGTCAACAGGGGAGATAGTTGACCCATTACTTGATTAGCTTTGGCACATGCCCCATAGGCTACTAGCATAAAATATGTTCTTTACTTTTTACCTAATATACGCGTCACAACTATAAGTAAAAATATTCCATGCTACATTGTACTTTATTAGAAACACATAGATTAATTGTATAATACGTTATCAGACTGTATTGTGTATCTGGCAGAAATATTCCTGTGTACTTTATTTGGCTGCAAGCGCTTTCGTGGTTCAGATATGCAAATGAAGTGCTAATGGTCAATCAATGGCAGAACGTCCATAACATAAGTAAGTACACTATTTACTTATATCTAACAGGGTTGTTGTCACTATGAGGCAGTGATTGTATTTACTGAGATACATAGATGCACGATGAGGTAGCGTTACACTAGGAAATATGTACAATTCAAAGAAATTAAATCAAATATAAAATACAGGAAAAAGACAAATCAACGCTAATGTGTGAAGCAGGTACACAAACAATGACTGGAAAGTTACTAATTAACTACAAATGGTTATTAGCTTTGCTAGAAAAGGAAGTGTCATATAATATGACAGAATCCCTATTATATATGACAAAAACAGCTGGCGATGTATATGACACGCACCTAAGAAGCCTCAAAACACAACATATAACTTGATAACCCGTTTGCTGGAACCCACAGCGACACAGTAATTAAAAGTGACCCAAAATCTCCCCAGTCGAAAAAAAAAAAAAACTACAAAAAGATAATTAGCAACTAAATGAACAAGATGAGGGTATGGGATGAGCCACAATAGATAGTGAAGTTTTATAATGACTTAGTTTTATTTGAATGAGACTATACTGCAGGACTGCTGAAGCGAATTTACTCGGGAATTTTTAAAACAGAGACCGTCACGGGCCAGATGTCCGAGTTCCAGCATAGAAAGATCATTTATACAATACTACTGGCAATGATCTGATGGTCAACTGGCAATGATCTAGTGGTCAACTGGCAATGATCCGATGATCAACTGGCAGTGATCTGATGGTCAACTGGCAATGATCTGATAGTCAACTGGCAATGATCTGACGGTCACTTGCTAGGCCTCCGTGGACCAGATTTTGTCTGCGGGCCGTCAGTTGAATAGCCCTGCTATATTGTATCAGGGATGTGGTATTAGGGGACGATAGGAGGGGTGGGAGTTAAAGGAAATAGGAAGAAGAAAAGAAATAAGAGCCATTGTGTATTTGCATGTTATACATAAACGTTAATTAATGGGCATCCCTTAAGGCTACTAAAGTAACATTTGAAATACATAGGCATGTTTTGATATACTCTCAAAGATATGACATTCTCGTTAGTAAAGTCAGACGTTCAAACTACGTGTTTTATTCACTACCACATTCTACTCTCTAATCATATTGTGTACTAGCATATGCTTTTTATTCTTCTTTTGAAACCTTTCTAATGCCGTCAGTCAGCCAGATATTTTACATCATTACACATTTAAAAGATATCTAGAAGATACAGCTGAATGGCGTAGAAATGTTAAAAGGACGACCAGGTAGAGGGCTTATAAATAAGGCCAATGACTTGGTTGTGGAGCATCATAGTTTTAACTGCATTTTCTTTAGAGCAGTGTTCCTCAACCTTTGTACACCCACGGCCCACTAAAACAGTGACAATTGTTTCGTGGCCCACCTAATAGCTAACCAAGGACGAAACAATAAGTGTAGATAGCACTTGATTTGATCAGTATGCTGTCCCAGAATTACAATTTCAACTAATGCAACATCTACTGCTGCTTAGAGGATACAAAATGTATCAGTGGCGGAAGCGTTGTTTCTGATATATGATGCGCTACAGTAACCTCCACTAAATTTCATTTCTCCATTAGGCAATTTTGTTATCAGTAACGTCTTTGAGCACGCCGCCCCCCACACACACACACAGAGTCTGCAGGTGTTAAACCTTCAAACTAGAAGAGGAAAAGCACATACCCTTCTTCGTTACATGATTAAAGGGAAAAAAACCTAATCGCGGTCCACAGGGACTTTTTAGCGGCCCACCAGCGGTCCACAGGGACTTTTTAGCGGCCCATAAGCGGTCCAGCCTGCGGATTGAAGAACACTTTTTTACAAGACGTCACAAACCAACCCTATCACTTGATGGCTTTCCGTGGTTTAACTTAGCGTTTTGACTTCTGTAATTTGCCATTGCTTTTTGATTCTTCGGCGCTCATCTCATTATCTAAATAAAGACAAAGCTGTCAGCTGCAAATCGCTGCAACTGAATCAAACTGAGTGGTCGAGATTACGAAGCTGCGTTCATAAGTCCTAATCTCAGACGCCAATTGTCACTGTATATATATATATATATATATATATATATATATATATATATATATATATATATATATATATATATATATACACACACACACACACGTATAAATATCAACCAATATATTTGTCTATTCACTTCTAGCCTGCCATCTCCAGGAATCGAATGCAACCAATGAAAACATCAGAAAAGAATGTATGTATACCACAGGCGATGATGTTCTGGAGTATACCAGTTTCAGCAAGGTTTGTGTCTCATTTTTATTTGCCAAATTAAATCACGTAAATAATACTTTATATTGTAATCGTATAAACATATTTTTGCAAAGCTTACAAAATAATTGTTTATAATTATACAAGTATTAACTAACAAGTGAAGAGAAACGTCTGTCTGAAAAAGGAGGAGGAAAAGTAATGGTAATTATAGTTGTCTTCAGGATTTAGTATCGAAGTGAGTGGGATTAGTATGAAGCGTGTCAATGTTTTCATTTATTTTTTATGACACCAGGAAATTGAATATTTTTTGAAAGGTTCCTGTAGAATACCTCAAACAAACGCAGCAGTTCAGAGTGTGAATATATTTCTATTTGAAGAATTTTGTCAAGTTGTGTAAGAACACAATTCTTGAAGGTGTATAAGACGAATCCTTGTGTACGGAAATAAATCACGGACTTCTTGTGTGGGTTGCGAGATCCCATTGTATGAGAGATGGGAGAATAGATCTAAAATAGTTTTTTTTTTCGAAACCGGAGTGCATCTACCTGAGAAGCGAGGAACCAACAGTATACATACGAATAAGCAGATCTGTAAAACGGATATGACATCAAACCCCGAATTTCTGGAACAAGAAAGTCCTGAAGTGGACACACAAAATTCCGTCGGAGTTTACCGTTGGTGAGGCCGAAGGGAAAGAAGACGAGGAAGAAGTGGAGGTAAAAGAACAAAAGAAGGATGATAAGAAGAAGCGAATAGGACGCCACCTGGAGCATAAAGATTTCACAATGTGCACGCTACCTTTGATTAATCTGTATATAATTGACGCAGTCAATGATAGACACTTGATATGGCAATAGCCGCGATGTCACAGCTGAATACGATGTGGAAGAACAAAATCAGCATCGCAGTCAATGTCACTATTTACAGATCCCTTGTATTGTCTATTATCTAATACTAGATTCTCACTGTGGAAATGAAAAGGGGAAATCAAGCTTTCGAAAATAAATGCTACAGACGCATTTTACGAAATAGTTATTTAGAACGCAAAACTGTTAAATATGACACAGACAAAGTATACACATTTGCGGGACATCAGGAGCTTCTCTTGGCAGTGGTAAAACATCGCAAGCTACCTTAATTTGGGCACGTGGTGAGACATGATTCGATTGCGAGACTATACTTAAGGAACATTAGGGTGGGGAGGGGGGGGGGGGTGGGGGTAGTCGAAGAAAAGGAGGGCAAAGAAGAATCTAGAATGACATCAAGAAATTGAAAGCACTAAGTTATCATACACTTATTCATCAAGCGGAAGACAGAGAAAGATAGCGGATTTTATGTGCTAGTGCTTCCATCAATACACCTCCACGACCCTAATGGGCCAAGTGTTAAGGTTATGCTATGGCGCGGTCATTGGTTTCAAACTTGTGGGGTCTATTCAGGAGAAAACCGGGACACCGTTGGATCTGTTGAGGTGTTGTAATGACAGTCCTAACCGATCATTATGTGCTTCGATAAAGAAAAAAATCATCACATCTAACCAGCCTCCCTGAAGAGGGAGCTTTAAGTTATAATTGTAACTAGGTTATGTGCACTATCCAAAATAGGGAACTCATGCAGTGTTGATGCGAGCAGAGGAGACAGACCCAAATACTGCCCCGACAGGCGACGAAGTCGTCTACCAACGAACCAGTGGGCTACCGGATCGCAGACGACCAATCACTAATCATACGTTTCTGTTTATCCTCTCTCTCTCTCTCTCTCTCTCTCTCTCTCTCTCTCTCTCTCTCTCTCTCTCTCTCTCTCTCTCTCGAGTAACCACACGTTACCCCATTTTCTTCATCCATCTATCCACAGGACAACGTGGTCTTGGACATTGGACTCATGGTGGCCTTGATTGTGGGTTTCCGTGCATTTTCGCTTTTATTTCTTATTGTCAGAGCTAGAAGATCCAAAGAATAAACTGTTTCACCAAATTGTGCGGCATTTATCGCGAGCGAAAGATGCCTTTTGGAAGACCCTGAATTATGTTGCTTGCATATCATTATAAAATATTTGTGTTCACAGGCATAAAAAGAGATAGTTATTTAAAATGTAAAACGGCGGTGATGTTTTGCTTGGACCAGATGTATCTTTAAATTCTATGGCTAATATCCCAATTAATTTATAGCTAATTTTTTACATCGGCATGAATTTTTTTCAAAGTTACATGTTATATCTAACAAGTTAACAAAATATTTTGTGCTAATATATGTTTGCAGTGTGTGTGTGTCTGCGTGCGTGTGTGTGTGTGCGCGCGCGCGCAGGCCTTTGCGTTACTGCTTAATATTCTTTAGGGGCAGCCCTATCTAGGTAAAAAAAAAAAATCGAACTGAGTCTCTGTAGATGTGGGTATACAGAAGAATATGTCGTTTTACAAAAAGAGTCAAATACAGAGGTTCTGGACCGGCCACAAATGGAAAGAGAATTATTGAAAGAAATAAAACAGACAGTTTAAATACTTTAGCCGCATTAAAAAACATAACACACTTTTGAAAACCACACCGGTGGGAAAGGTCGAAGGCAAGACAGCAAGAGGTAGGCAACGATACAAGTGGAAGGACAAAAAGAGATGGACGGGCAGCAATCTGAGACAGTGTACAACTAAGCCAAGAGACAGAGCATGGTAAGGACCCATTGCAGCCAACCTTCACTGTGGAGACGGCACCTGACTACCTAGGTGGTAAATCCCGTGTGTTTTTATTCTGTTGTAAGCTGTTTTCGTTTCTTACACACACGGGCATTGACCCATTTAACTCAGTGTCACATTTGGCCGCCGTTAGATGCTACGGAAGAGCCACCTTGCCCTATGAAGGGCGAGCTTCACAAGCTCACACAACCACTACTCGGCAATAGGAATAAACTCCACAGGGGAGCAAGTACAGCAGGGATCTACCAATAGTCGAAGTAATCAATACTCAATACTCGGCAATATTCAACCAAGTGCTCTAAACCTGACAACCTGCCTTCATATCTACCGTTGCCTTCGTTCTGCTCCGACAGTAGACGCGCTATTCTGTGCCGTTGGAACTCGTCCTCGCGGTAAGACGGAACTTTTCGCTCGTTTCTCCTGTCGGTGACACTGGCCGCCTGCGGGCCAAATCTGGCTCCAGAAGGTCTGGCAAGTGGCGCGCGGTGTACTGCCAGTTATGTTGTATTAACGATCTCTCTGGGCTTGGATTCGGGTCTCTGTGACGTTCCAGATTTCTAAGTGTTAGCCCTGAGTAAACTTAGTTGAGGAGTCCTGCACTATATGGTTGGCCGTTCAGGCATAACTGTATATATTCCTACCATTACCATGTCTCTTGATAATTAAAAGTCAAGAATCCTCTACTGGTGAGTGGCACACCGGGTCCATGTGAGACCAATCGGTACTTTAATGACTGATATGCTTAACATCATTATAGCCTTCTTTACTTGCAGTGCCACTTATGGTACCCGTTTAAGCTGAAGAACACAAAATCAGTATAGTGATAGACTTACAGCTTGCCAATCTCTACTGGAAACTAGACTATATACACTGGACGTTTCGTTTTTCAAAAGCATATTTTGAATAGCAGCGGCAGAGAAAACATCAAAGACTGAAGTATAGAATGCGGCGATCGTTACAAACACGCAGACACAATGCCGACACACGCGAGGCAGAAAAACAATCCAGGGAATATATTATATCACAATTAAATGTGTGTGTGTGTGTGTGTAAGGGGGGGGGGGGGGGTAATGATAAACGATCAGCGTCTCAGACCTAGCGATCGAAGAAACTTCAGCTTATTCTATTATTCAATTAAAATATTTCAACAAATACAAGCGAGTGTCACTACTGAAAGTAAACACTAGTGTTCGAGAATCACAAAACAAAATATATGAGGCGAAATCAAAGATTTGTTCGTAAATGATGTTTATAAAAATTTCTAATTTTGGTAAAACAATGTACTGATAAGCTATGTGTTACATATAAATAATAGCTAAGTTTTAATATGTATAAGCATTGTATAACACGTTTTGTTGAAAATTCATATTTTCCTAGAAAAATTAAAATACAAATTTTTGTTGGAACCAATAAAATCTAGATACCAGCAAGTTCTGTTTCCAACATGATTCTTGTCTTTAATGGCATTGCTTGTTTGTTATATTTATTTGTTACCTGTGCTCACCCACTCGTGTACTCTTCTGAGGCAAACATATCCACGTGTAATAATTGTGTGTGTGTGTACGTGCACGCGTGAGTGCGCAAGCAAGCAATCAGAAGGATGCAGGCTTTTTTTTAAATTTTTGTTTTTGTTTTGAGGATGCAGTTTTTGTTTGTTGATTTTTTCTTTGTGTGTGTGTGTGTGAGTTAGTGAGTAAGAGAGAGTGAGAGAGAGAGAGAGACAGAGAGAGTGAGAGAGAGAGAGAGAGAGAGAGAGAGAGAGAGAGAGAGAGAGAGATACAGAGAGAGATTCTAAGATTTAAAATCTAATGTACGGTTTAAATATACTTTTGAGCACTTAGACAGACACGCAGGGAACAGACGCCAAAGTATTTGATAACGTTAAACGTTAGGGACCGCATGCCAGTTTTGTGGCTGTCAATTTGAGCCATGGTTTGCGCAGGTGGTGATACCTTCTATTTAACCTACAACATGGCTATTCAATGGAACCAAGTCTGTCTCACTCAACCCTTAACTCTTTGAGTCCATCATGAGTCGAATGTTATTTTTTCCGGTGTGTTTCAGACCTGAAATCCACAGGTCACGAGAAAGTCAAATATTTTGGAGGTTGTAGTTTAAGCGTATAGTTTAGTAATTAGGGTACTTCTGAATAGCCGACCACAAACAGATGAAACCCACAGGTCACAGGATAGCCTAATATTTCAATGGGTGGTAAATTAAGACTATAGTTTAGTAATTTGGCATTTCATTTGCCTTGCATTTGTTTGCTGTGCACTTTTCGCTTTTGCATGCTTTTGTTTTGTGAGCTGTGCAGTTTTTGAAAGGATGCAGGTTTTTTTTTTTTTTTTTTTTATTTTGTTTTGAGGATGCAGTTTTTGCTTGTTGATTTTTTTTTCTTTTTTAAATTGTTTGTGTGAAACTATACGTGCAATCGGCAGGATGGGGTACTATTCGACTGGCCCTAAAAAAAAAGGCCAATCATTCTAGACGTATACTGCTGTGTTCACGTACGAATTTACAATCAGAACAATTTTACACGTTAGTAGATCTGGAGAGAGGTTGCAATTCGACACCTGCTGTTGCGGAGGCAGCAGCTGAGACGACATACCATTGATCTGGTAGCCCCAATGTCTGCCAGAATGGTCGCGAACACGTCGTTATCATCACGTTGAGTGCACCTTAACCACACAAGCTCGCACATGTAAGAGAATAATAAATGTCGATCTCCACATGCACTCGATGTATGGCGTATGTGGTGGGATCGACAATATTGAGTGACTGACGGCGAAGAGCGTCAATCTAGGAATATTCTCAATTCCATTGTACGCACGCTACGGGTCGGAAACTACTGTCTTGCCAGGTCTGATGTTTGTGCTAAGAATCCGGAGAAGTGTCTCTGCTTTTCTTGTCTGAAACGCAGAACATAAAACACTCGCCTGTTTCGCGACAGATGCCTCGCATACCTACCGTTGTGGAAACACTCATCCCACATGATTTTTCCACCTTGTAAACAGACTTTAATTAATTTCAACAGTGTTGTTCCCTCTGCCGATCACCGCAGGATTCAATAGTAATGTATTGGCAAAAACCTCCTGTAAGTAGTTGCACCACTCCATAGTTGAAATCAACGACATGCCCAGCCCTACTTCTCAAAACTGAATGCTTGTCAACTCGTGAGACCAGTATTATAGAAACAGAATGATCTGTCTGTCTTTAAGGCAGGCTTCGAGCCATGTTCCTTGCCTTAACGGTATGTTCAGACGACAGGTCGACTTTCCACAGCGCCATAGGTCGTTGCTCAAGGTCAGCGATAACACCGTTGCCTAATTGTTACCACAACGTCTGGCACTATGCGGAATGCCATGATGTTGCAAGAAAGCAACTCTGCTCTTCTTGTCAGGCGCGGATGCTGCTAATTCAAGGAAAATCATGGCGATGAAGACTGAACACAAGCTGCTGGAGAGACGCCGGAAGAAACGCTCGAAAGCCTTGGCAACGCCTTGAACGAAACACAGAAAGCCGGGAAACAAACACAGGTAGCCGAAAAACCCGGTCTTACCACCTTCCAAAATAATGGACTGCCTCGTGACGTCTTTTATGGTCAGCTATTTAGAACATACAGAAAAAGGTCACTCCCCACCTTTTTTTTTTTTTTTTTTTTTTTTTTTTTTTTTTTTTTGAAAATATTTTTGATTTATACTTTTTATCAGCAAATTTTTTTTTAGTTTTTAAACTTTGGTGCAATCCCAGTATCACGCCCCCAAACACGGGAATTCTACAGGTTACGGGACTGAGGGTGGTAAATAAAGCATATAGCGCAGTAATTTGGCATTTCATTTGCTATGCAGTTTTGTGGAGATATTTGGGAATGCGGCGACTAGTGAGGCATCAGAAGAGACGACGCAAACACGTCGCCTTAGCCTAACTCTTATCTGAAACCTAAATACTAACCCTAAAACCTAACTCCTAATCCTAACCCTAAACGACTGTACTATAAAGAATGAATACTGAACACAAGCCGCTAAAGAGACACCGCTGAAAGAAGTGGAAAACAGACAGCGGGAATCCCGGTCTGACCATATACAAAAATATTATACTGTCCCGTGACGTCATCTGGAGGAAGATATTGAGATAGACCCAAAATTCAAACAGTAATACAGATGTTGCAGTGAATCTTTATATGCAGATTAACTGAAAGATCAGCTCAAAGGATACAAGATTTGACGAGCTTAGCGAAATACAAGTTGTTGCAAACGTTCAATACCAAGTCTCT